AGGAACGGTTTCTCAATTCAGAGGAGGCATGAAGCTGATCCCAAGAGCAGTAACGACAGTAGTCTCCAAGAGAAGGTAGGCTGAATAGACAAACAACAAAAATAAATAGGATTTACAGGGATAAGCAATGTGAAGGAACCCAGGAGCTGTGAAGGCAGTGAGCTAGCAGGACGAATCAAGAGCTCATCCTGTACCCATGCCGACGCAGAGAGGGTAGGGAGTGACACTCGACTGTGTTCCAAGAAAAGGAAACTTGTACCTTCATGAACAAGTTGAGTCAGTGCTGACTCCTAATTCTAGCCCTTTGCTCACACATCTGCCACAGCATGAAACCGTATGTTCCTCTTTTCCCTGTCTTTAGACAAGCACTAGTCAACATGTAGCTATTGAAGAAACAGGTATGACTACAAATGCCAGGCTTTCCGAAGTAGAAGGAAAGCAAGAGACTTGATGCCAGCTCCAAAGTATATTATGTGTTATGTTTCAGACACTAAACAAAGGAAGTAAGATCTAGGAAATGCAGACTTTACTGTCTGAACTTTTCTAAAACGGGCAAAAATACAAGGTCTTACATGAGACAGATTGTTTCTCTGTCACATGATGGTCTAGAACACAGGTGCTACTGTGAGTCTCTAATAAACAGACAGAAAGGAGAGGGGCACAAGCTTTTGTTTAAATACACAGCTCAGATTTGTACAAAATTACTTCCTTTCAAATCCCATTAGCCAAAGGCAAGTCACATGATCAACTCTAGCTACAAAAGAAGGCTAGAAAGTGTGACCTTCTTCTTGCTAGCCAGAACCTATTACAATTTATTTACTACAATTTATTACTAGCCAGAGTTTATTACAATTAAAGACAAGAAAATGAATACTGGAGTTTATTATGTGTGGACTTCAAAAGAAGAATTCAAAAGGTTTCCATTTATAAATAGTAATAATTGGCCAGCCTGCTGAATAGAAAATCATGGAAATTTTATCATTTGAAATTTTCAGAGTCAGAGCTTCAAATTTAGCTAGTAAAACCTGGCCTCTAGAAATAACAGCACAGAAAGGCCATACCCCATACAGAACAATGTAGAAATAACAGCACAGAAGGGCCATACCCCATACAGAACAATGTAGAAATAACAGCACAGAAAGGCCATACCCCATACAGAACAATGTAGAAATAACAGCACAGAAGGGCCATACACCTCATAGAACAATATCAGGGCCATCTAGGAGGCTTCTCCTTAAGTATGAGCATGTTCCTGTTGTGGTGGCATGTGCTGGTGGGACATGCTGAAGAAGAAGCAGGAGGATCGCAAGTTTGAGACTAGCCTGGGCTGCACATCTTAGGGGCTGGAGAGATGACTCAGGGTTAAAAGCACTTGTTATTCTGACCTGTTCCACTCACAGCACCCACATGGTGCCTCACAACCATCCATAGCTCCGCTTCCAGGGGATGGAAAGCCCTCTTCTGACCTCCTCGGGCACTGGGCACACACGTAATGCAGACATACATTCAAGCAAAACCTCATATATGTAAAATAAAATAAATAATCCCTTTCTTAACTCCTAAATGTGAACATAGAGGTCTAATCATTCTTGTTCAGTAATTTCCAGTGATGAGCTAGGCACTTGATTATTTTAATCCCCAAGAAAAATTCGGATACACTGTCAGGACTTAGGACCGATATTAATAGAAAAATTTGAAGATAAACTTCACTTTTTGATGCTCTCCTAAAAGGTTAAGCAAGAAGTCTGTTTTGTTTGTTGTTTTTTGAGATAGGGTCTTGTTATGTAGCTCTGGCTGTACTGAAATTCTCTATGTAGAACAGGCTGATCTTGAACTCACAGAAATCCACTTGCCTCTACTTCCCGAGTGCTAGGACTAAAGGCACCACCACACAGGGCTAAGAAGGCTGAGTTTAAACAACAGAATATAGTTAGGCTTTTCTAAGAAGCCTTAATCAGAATGGCATTAAATTATGGAAGAAGTAAGGTTCAAGCTACATGACATTGCTTCACACTTGTCCTTTACTTGTAAGATGAAGGATTAACAGAAATAACTGCTTCCGGCACTCCAGGTTCCCACTTGTTGCTGGCTGGTTCTCTTTATTCCTTAGCACATGTTAAATAGATCATAATTAGAGTATAATATTTGATGATATACAGACTGAGAAAAGATAAACACAGGTAGCTCATGGAGGACCTTATAAACTACACCTGCAAAGCATCCTACTAAGGACTCTGTAGTTGATAAGGGCCCTGTGAGTACCCACCTAACCATGAGAAAATCATTCTCATTCCTTTCCCCCTCCCTCTCCCCCTCTCCCTCTTCCTTCTATTTTCTGTTTTCTTTTATTTAAATTCCATTTTTTCTAAGATAGGTATGTAACACTCCAATCATGGTCAAAATCGATCTTACAACTGGCTTTTTATTAAAGGTGTTTTGAAAGGCACTTTCCAATTCTTGGTCTTTTGTGAGATCAGAAATGAGCATTGCCAGGTGGAGTTCACCTCAAGCAGAGAGCAGCTGTGAAAGGCTGTGCCCTCTGAAATTCCCTGGGTTTCAGGACAGGAACTGTGGTCACAAAGAGACTTCACTCTGTGTGTATATGCGAGAGCTTGAGGATAATGAGGACACACGAGTACGTACATGTTTAATACGGAAAGGAACAAAACAAATGAGTTTGAAAGATGATGAAGAAACAGAAAAGAAAACAGTTCTCCTCAGAAAATAATTAGCTCTTTTGTCTGTAAGCCAAACAGCTTTGATAATTGAGGTTTTGGAGGCAAAACCTACATTATTTTTCTCGGCTTTCTCTGGTAACCTTCACCTTGCCGAGGCTATTAAATGCTGAGAGGGTAACTACTGTTTGTTCCTTGGATACAAAAGACATTTCCTCTCTCTGAGTGCTTCTGTGTTTCCACTAAGGCCAGTTCTTGACAGCCCTGTGTGGAGGGCATCCTGACAGACAGCATTCAAAGAGCTGAGAGCCCACGAGCTTGGGGACGGGATTATTATTATTTTCCCAGTTTCTTCTCTTTCCCACGTTATGTTTTGTTTAGGATAAAGTGCTCTGCATTTCCCAGCACACATTGAATGGAGGGAGGAAGAGAAGCAGAGCCAAGAGCAGGAAAGGGACAGGCAAGCAGACGCTAAATCAAGAGTGTGTGCTTCCCCTCTAAGAAGGTCTTGCTGTGGATTCCATTATTAACATTGACATTGGAAATACCTGAGAGTTCTTAATGTATGACTGCTGGTTCTTGATTAACAATAAGCCATGGAACTCATCGTGGGGTTTATTATGGAGGCATCTCTCTCTAATCAGTATCCAATGAGACCTCCATTCGAGTCACCTAGAAACCCTACCAAACTAGGAAAGGCGAGATAGTGTGTCTCTTCAGCTGCTGTGCTTCTGAGTCTTTCCTTCATTCTTAAAGGTCGTTGTGAGCATGCGTTCAACTCTGTATGTGGAAATGTAGCAGGCTTGTTTTTAAACTGTGTTTTTTAAGGGGGCTGGAAATTTAACTCAGTTGGTTCAGTAAAACTCAGATCCAATCTTCCCACTGCATAAGTCAGATGTGAGAGTGCACGCCTACCATCCCAGCACCTGGGAGATGCAAGCAGAAGAGTTCAAGAGCAGCTTGGGCTACAAGAGGTCTTGTCTCAAACAAATGCTCGTAGGAGAGCTATAAGAAGGCACAGGGCACTCCTACCAGCAACGGAGGAGTGTTCCCCTTTCACCACATCCTCTCCAGCATAATTGCTGGTGGGAGTGCCAACTTGTTCAGCCACTTTGGAAATCAGTATGGAGATTCCTCAGAAAAATGGGAATCAACCTACCAAGAGACCCAGCAACTCCACTCTTAGGCACATATCCAAAAGATGCCCATTCATACAACAAGGATGTCTGTTCCACTATGTTCATAGCAGCATTATTTGTAATAGCCAGAACTTGGAAGCAACCTAGATGCCCCTCAGCCGAAGAGTGGATAGAGAAAATATGGCACATTTACACAATGGAGTACTATTCAGCAGAAAAAAACAATGGAATCCTGAGATTTGCAGGCAAATGGATGACACTAGAAGAAACCATCCTGAGTGAGGTAACACAGTCACAAAAAGAGAAACATGGCATGTACTCTCTCATATATGGATTTTAGACATAGATCTGGAGAGTGCCAGCCTACAATCCCATGGCCAGAGAGTCTGGGAAACAGAACCTTCATTCAGTGGCTGATGTAAGAAGAGGCAGACTCCCATGGCTAAGCACTGAGCTGAACTCAAGAAAGCCAGTAACAGAGAGGGAGGACTGATGACCAAAGGGATTAAGACTGGGCTGGTTTAACCCCCAGAAACAGTTGACCTGACAAAGGTTAACTCTTGAATCCCAGGCATCAGCCTGGGAATCCAGCATGGGACTGATCAAGACCCCCTGAATGTGGATGTCAGTGAGGAGGCCTAGGTAATCTATTGAGCCTTGGGCAGTAGATCAGTACTCATCCCGAGTATACACACGGACTTTGGACTCCCATCCAACAATGTGAGATGAACTCTCACCCTGAACTCTTGGGGGAGGGTCTGGATGAAATGACAGACTATGGACACTCCCATGGAGGGCCTCACCCTCCCTGGGGAAATGAGGGGATAATGGGGGTTGGGGGGAGGGCACGGGAGGAGGGGAGGGAAAGGGAGAGGGACCTGGAACTGACTTGTGAAGCAACCTTGTTTCTAATCTAAATTTAAACTTAAAAAAGATTAAAAATAGAAGACACAGGGCAGTGTACACAGAGCTTCCTCCTGAGCTTGCAACATCCCGCCGACCTGATTTGACTGTGTGTCTACAGCAAGTGACTTAGCTCCATGACCCTACAACACAGAGGTACAGGAGTGCCTGTTTGAGGAAAAGACAGGGAGACTCTGTTCTTCCACGGGACAACTCAGACCTATTGAGCCAGCTCTCTATGAAGCTGGGGTGGGGGAACAGAGAGCAAGCCTCTGGGGCTATGAGGATTGGTTTCTCTACTACATAGGAGATGGGAGGATCTAAGACAGAGCGGCAAAGAGTACAACCCATTACACGTAGGTAAAGCTTTGCGTTTGTCCATGAAATTTGTATTTGAATTGTGAGCTTCCGTGCACATGTGTCAAGCGGTGAAATAAAATGTTTCTGAGGCTTCAGTCAATGGATATGAAAGGCAAGAGCCTAGATTAGAATCTCCCCCCCACACACACACACACTCTATTCCCTCTTCATCCCTCCTTCCTTCCAGGCCCACTCATATGCTTTTATACAAGAAGACCAATATAGGAGATTTGTCAATTATAAAAAGGTCTCTTTTTTCATATTTGATGCAAGCTTTAATTAAATACTGGCCAGGTAGATGGACTCTGGCCAGGTCTATACTTAGATTCCCAGGAAATGGCCCCAAGCCACATTTTGCAGAGTCTTCAGAAAGCACAGCCCATAATTCCCTACATTTCCCATGAGGTCCAATCATGGACAAACATACATCCTGATGTACTTCCTGTCTGTATGCCTCCTGCCCATATGTGATCAATGTAGATGGGTAAAAAAAAAACTTGTTTAGAGGAGTAAAAACGTGTGACTTCTTATTGTCCACAAACAATAGACTCCAGCATTTCAGGAACTATCTGTTCTTGGACAAAGGGCTTGCATATCAGAGCCTTTTTTGTTTCATGAATTTCCTTGCACAGTAATTACAACTTAAAATGTAACCTGGATCTCACATCCTCCCCCTTCCCCCTTTGAGTTGTATCCTAAGTCAAATCCTTGACTCTGTAATGGGTACCTGTTTATATTAGAATGGTACCCAGATAGGAATTATCACTTAGTTAAGGCATCAAGGAAGCAAGAGCCAACAGCCATCAGCAGAAGCAGAAGGGCCAAAGGCCCTGTGAGTAACATCAGAGTTACTATCTAGATGGAAGCTGGAAATGAGAGTAGGGATCAGTTATTTACTTATCCCCTTTTATGCAACAATTTTTCTTAGTGCAGCCAGGTTATTTCTAATGATTCCTGAGTGATTTGTACAGAAACAACAATTTTCTCTTAAATGTATACAGTAACCTTTGTTTTACATAGAGTAAATTGAGTGCCCTGGCATAATGCAGAAATATTTCAGTTAATGAATCTACCTATTGATAGATCTGGGCCTATTTGGTTTAACAGGTACTTGTCCTATATGCAAATAGGTTCTATAAGTAGTTTTGTCCCACATTCGAGGGACTATCCTTTTGATCTGACATTCCAGCCTGTTGGGGAACAACAACTTCCTGTTGAAACTAGGATATTGTTGCAGGGCCAGGAGCGGGCGGGGGCTGAAATGCTATTCAAAGGCAAGGAGGGAATTCAGGTAATGGGGTATTCATCAGAAGCATCTGGTTTGCTGACCCAGCTGAAGAGACAGGGAGCAATCACACTAATTGGTCTGGTCCACATCAGCTTTCAACAAGTCCAGGTCAGGCATTTGTATGGAGCAGGTTGAAGTCAGCAGCTGATATTTGGATGTTCCTGTCAGCCAAGTGGAAATCTTCTCTAGGAAAAGTGGGACCATCAACTCTCCGGCGTCTTCCTTGTCCACAGTTTGGGTTGGGTCTTGGCAGCAGGTGAAGCGCTGGGGGAGTCTCACCTCACCCAGTGGTTTGTGTTACGACAATCCTGGTGGAGTCATCAGGGTGGCCAGTCTTCTAGGAGCTGGGGGTCTCTGTGATAGTAAGAGTTACAGTGGTTCAGTTCATTGTCATCATGATGGGGAATATGGCAGTGTGCAAAGCAGACATCGTACAGGCAAGGTAGCTGAGAGTCCCACATCTTGCAGGCAACAGGAAGTTGACTGTTTATAAACAGGTCTATATAAATTCATGAACATGTTAGTGCATACTAAGCATAGAAAATTCCCATGAAGCCAAGCTATGAAGCATAGCTATCCACTGACAGTCATGGAACTAAAGAGGACTGGGGACACTTCTTAGGCCACGTGCCTTCTCAACACCTTCTCTACTGGTCTCAGCAAAGAGCAAGTTCCTGCCTCTCAGAAGCTGAGCTCCCCTTGAGGTCACACCCCTGAACCCCCTGAATGATGTTGAACAGGAACCAAGCACCAACTAAGCATCACGCAGTGTGTTTCACACATTTCATCTTAGCTGATTTCAGCAGTCACATCGGTCTACCATTTCCACTGGACGTACTGTAAAGCAGAGACTGTAAAGTGATGTAACTTACTCTAGGTTTTATGCCAGATCCATAAGAGAAAGAAAACCTCCTGAGAGGCTCTCTCCACCACACAGCTGATCTTAGTCCAGCATCTGTATGCTCCAATGGTGTGCCAAAGACCATGGGAAGAACTCTGGTCTCCATGCCTGCAGAAGAGAGAAGGATATTGTCCAAAAGAGAAGGTCAGAGTCTGAAACTGAGATGATTGTCCAGCCGAAAGGCAAAGGGCACAGCCCTGCAGGATGCACTCTCCCACAGACACGGATTTAGATTCTAGCTACTGCAAGGAGGAAGCACAGTCTTAGACACTCTGCTTTCATATACTGATGACAATAATCAGAGAAGGACCCAGTGGAGAGTCTTCGGGACTCCAGAGCTAGGGGAATGAGGATCTCTATCCCTCTCTAAAAACAAGGGAGGGAGTTAGATGTTTAGTTTTCACAGATGAGACCTGGATTGAATTCTACAGCATCTGCCGAACAGAAGCTCCCCATTAAACCCACTCTGGGTTCCCCATTCCTACTGTTAGGACAAAACTGTGTGCTCTGTACCCATGAGGAATTTTCTGCCTGTCACTGCCTTCTGCTTGAATTGACAACTTAGCATCCATGTGCTTCAGTTTCCTCATCAAAAGAAAAAAACAAATGAAAACAATAACCATTTTGTGTGATTTACCCCTCCCCAAGATTATATAGTCCTTGACACAGGCTCCTGTTAATGCCTCCTGTAGGGTAGTGATGTGGTTGCTACATGTGGCTGTATTTTTGCTCCCAAATATTCCTCTTCCTTAAATAAATCACTTTGAAGTTAGATACCATTGGACACAAATGATGGAGTTGACCCCACAGCACAAATGTACTAAGAACCTCGTTTGAGGACTTTAGCTCAATCTTTATCTCAGGCTTCAAGCTGTTCCCAGTACTTCACTCCCCTCTCCTACCACTGCAAGTCTGATTCCTTGAGGTAAGACTTCAAGAGCCTTCCTTGTGAATACTTGAAGCACTACAGGGCTCACTCCAGGACAGTATGAATCTAAATAATTCATGAGAGTTGTGCTTGCAATTGACAAGGACAAGGAAAATTGCATAAGAGTCGCTTAGTCCTCACATGCCTTTATGTGGGCTGTGATAACACAAGCAGCTGGCAGAGAATTCTGTAATGAAAACAAGAGCAAAACAAAGTTTAAAAAACTCCAGGAAAAGATATTTAATGGACAGTTATGCCCAAAGGGGTTGCAGAAGTAATAGGTACCAGGACAATAAAAATAGGTGATGTTCTCCACTTATTTAGTCTGGTCTGGATGTGGACCCATTTCCTCTGATTTGATTTGAGGTTCAGGCCATTTTCATGTTCAGGGTGTATGCTGAACAGAGAGTAGCTTTCTGCACATAGAAGCCAGAAGGGTTTTTCAGTGCCGCTGATATGAGTGCTGATGAGTGCTTGCTGCCATGATGTGGTAAAGGCAGTCATAATTTCCCTAATGCCATTGGAAAGCATTGTACTACACAGATAAGGGCCATGCAACCTCACTGGGTCAGTGCAGAAGACCAGAGAGGTTCCAATGACCCTTGTCCCCCTTAAATGCCTCATATGGGCATAGTAAAGAAAACAAATCTGTGTCAGAAGGACAGCATGCTATGTAAGCCAGCTGCCCCTCCATGTAACCTATCTGGACTGCCAAAACTTAGAGATTGTTAAATCATAAGCCCATTGCCTGCCCCCACCCCACTCCACCCAGTGTGTGTGTGTGTGTGTGTGTGTGTGTGTGTGTGTATGCGCGTGAGCGCGCGCACGTCTCTCTCTGTCTGTCTGTCTGTCTTCCTGCCTGCCTGCCTGTCTGTGTGATTCATATGTGTGGAGGCCAGAGGTCCACATGTTGGGAGTCTTCCTCAATTGTTCCCCACCTTATGCCATGCCCAGGATGTTACATGGATTCTGGAAGTCCAAGCACCACACTTGAGTATAGCAACCACTTTACCAACTGAGTCATCCTCCCGGCCCCCATTGCCTACTTCAACTTTATTTCAAATGCTACATTTTCTTGTCTCCAAACACAGTGTTTCTGCCTTTCTTTACCCAAAGCTACATTCCCTCCATTTTCATCAAGCAAACACCTCTCCATCCATTAAAGTTCAAGCCAAGTGGCATCTTTTAATGAAGGCTTTATTGGAATCTTCCTCTCCAAACTCATGTAATCATCCTGAGGAAATTCTAATAATACCTGTTTTAACACGCTAATAATCACCCGTGCCTTGCCTGCAATCATTTTTCTCAGGCTTTTTTTTTTCATCGGTTCTTACTTTCCTTCTAGCCTATGAAGAGCCTTTCTAAGACAGAGACTGTGTCTCAAGCCTCTTTCCACCTCTTATAATAATGGGGCAGTGATCCTGCTAGAAGATACTCAATAAAGATAGCTCAATTTATCAATAACGCATTCCCTCTGCCCCTTCGGACTTGCTATTCATCTTTGTATCATTCCTGTCCTTCCTCTCTCACCCCGGCTACCCCGGCTCACAGGAGTCAACACAAAGTGACCTCAAATCTCCCTTGAAAATACCAGCAGATCAGAGGTTAGAAATCTGACACTTTGTTTGCAAAAGGTTGCCACCTTTCTGTCTCCTTAGGAGTTACGGGATTGGGAATCTCAAAAGCATCATCTATAATGTTTGAGTCTGAGGTTAAGTGAACTCCTCAAGGTCACATATCAAGTAAGAGTGGACATGGAACTGAAAATCTGAGATGACGGTGAGCTAGCTCTTGTGTTGATCAATCTCCCATTATAGGGAATGTTAAAGTCTTTTTCTTTGAGAGGTCTTGGGTTGATTTATTCTAGAGATGTAACATTTTTTAAAGTATAAGCCTAAAATATTAATCTCTTCAAACAGTAGTAACGTTTATAAGAAACCTCATATTGACTTAAACACCTTCTACCTGTGGTAACAACGTTTCAAAGAGGAGTGGATCAGATTTCAATGCACACAAAACTTGCCTTTCTCATGACAAAAACTCTCCGGATTCTGTTAGTGCTATCACAGACATCCTTAGGAAAAAAAAAAAAAAACCGGAGTTCAAGAAAAAAAATGTTTTGTGGATGGATTTTATTCTCAGTAGAACTCAAACCACAAGGCAAAGTCATAGATGAATAATGCTTCAAATGAACTGAAAGTAATGAATCAATAACATGACTGCAAACCTGGGGAACGAATCGGAGTTTTGAAAAATCTTCACAGAGGCTGTTCTTCCGGGGAGCCATCTCAGCATCTAAATGTATTTATTATGGGTTCGCTGCAATTTCTATGGAGTAGAAACTAAGCAAGACCCTTCCAGCTCAGTTTCATTTTTCATGTGGCAGGCTATACTCCCCTATTCCCTAGTTAAAGCCAACTGAAAGTGTATCTTCTGCAGCGTAAATTAAGAGATTTTTATACCCTATGATTTTCTGATATTTACACCATTCCTAAACTACAAAGTCATGATGATCTTATGCTTCAGGGAATTTATTTACTAAGTTGGGGTTCTTTGTGATGCCTTGAGACATGCCTCACTCTCCTCAAGGTGATTGCCATGCAGGTGAGGATGACACAGCACCTCACTTCTGCCATTTTATGAGGTTCAATACCAAATGCCGACTATTGCATTTGCTTTTAATGAAAGCCATTGGAACTTCTTAACCCAAGCTCCCATAGGCCTACACAGCCAAAGAGAAGTGAAAGCCCCCTCTATTATGGGGTAAATTCAAAAGCCTGTCTACACAAAGTCAAAGAGAGTGAGATAAAGGCGAGTTTATCTTTTCAGATCTCTTCAGATAATGAGAGGTCGTGCAAACACTCTCCCCATTTTGAAATAGATGAAATTCGATGATGAAATCGTGTAGCTATCTTCAATGTCAGCATGAAGAGATGTAAATGCTGGTTGAAACAGGCATTGTTCCCACAAAGTAGGTTTACTTATCCTGAAAAATATATATGTCATCTTTTAAGATTGGTTTCAGGAGCAAACCCTGTCAAATCCTTGATGTTTTCAAGGTGGGCTGGTTCTTGGTGGGTAAAAACACACCAGGCATTCCTCAAGACTCCCACTACATGGTGCTTGTATCCTAGTGTAAAGCCCCTCCCTTGACTGAGGGGAAGGGTAGGTCTACAAGACTAAATCACAAAATCAGCCATCTTTCTGCTCAACTCTTGTTCTTGTTGGTTTTGAGGGAGCAAACAGTCACCCTGGGAAGCCTGAAAATCAAGGAGCCAAAGGCAGACTGCAACTCATAGGCCATGCTTGACAAAAGCAAGCTGTAGTATGATAAATAAAAGACTAGGAGACAGATACCATGGTTCAAGCTTCAAGCTGAAGATCAGAAAAGCAAAGCAGCCAAGTCAGTAGATCTTACCTCTATGAAGCTGAAATGGCAATCCTGCCTCCACAAATCCTCAGAGGCGAAAGGCTCTGAATTCCTGTCTCCTCCTCTTTATATTCCTTTCTCTGCCCAGCCCTATCCTCCTGTCTCCATCTCCCTAGTGCTGGGATTGAAGGCATGTGATCCCAAGTGCTGAGATCACCTTTGTGTGAGCTGTTTCTTTTAGGACTGGATCAATTTCGTGTAGTCAGTGTGGCCTTGAACTAAAAGAGATCTGTCTACCTCTTACTCCTCAATCCTGGGATTAAAGGTGTGTGTGCCTGGCTTCTATGGCTAACTAGTATGACTGTTTTGCTATTTTGATCTCCAGTGGCTTTAATAAATCATAAACAATATATCATCACAACAAGCTGGCAGGCAGTCGTCTCTATAAAGGTCTGAAAAATGTTCTCAACAACTGTAGGAGCACTAAGCATTCCAATGAGGCCCAGACCTTAAAGATAACCTAACTAAGCCAAGTGCAGACTCCTGACCCACAGGAACTGATATAGGAATCATGAGAGTTTTTCAATGATATTCAGGGTCATGTTTATTGTGTAGTTATCCTCGTTAAGGTCAGGACTCCAACAACCCAAAGACCTCTCTCTGAAGCACACATCTCAAAGTTTCTACCACCTCCAGTAGCACCAAATCTGAGGGTCAAACCCTAAACACAGTCTTTGGGTGACACTTATATCCAAACTAAAGTCCATTCCCTCTCTAAAGGGAAAGAGATTAAAATATTTTCCTCAAATAAAGCTAATCTATAGAAACTGCACAGTTAACCTCAGTTTTATAAAGCATAGTCACACTCATAACCTCATTTAATACAAATAGTAACTCTACAAGACAGCTGTTGGAGTCCAGCTAGGGACTGAGACAGAGACGCACTCTATAAAAGCCCAGAATGGCTTTGAACTCATAACCCTCCTACCTCAGCTTCCCCAGTGCTGAGATTACAGGTACAAACACCACACTCAGGCCAGAAAAGTAGCTATTCTAATGACCAAATTCACAGACGAAGAGGCTGGGCTTTAAGAGTGTCCAAACTAGTCATGACGATGACCAGCTGGAAGCCTGAGTTTCTCAGGTGCCCTGTCTACTGCTCTTTCTCAGTTGTTACTCTGCAGTCCCCGGCTGGCTCTGCCATGTGACTATCTGAAAGCCTGAATGAAAGGAACTCTGAAACTATTGTGAATGACTTCATCATCACCAAGACACTGCGCACACACTCACGGGCCCCACGGTGAAAGACAACGCTCATCTTCATGCAATATTTCCAAGCTCATACAACTGCTGTTTAGATCACTCTGCAGTCAGACCTCATAGGCAGATACAGACCTAAGACATGGCATAGAAAGTACATAAACTTTGTGAAACTTCATTTCCCAAACCATAAAACAGTGTAACTGGAGATAGACGTTTCCAAAAGCATACCCGCCCCGTAGGACATTAGGAAGTGTGCAGGTGGAGGGGAATTTTTATCAAATCAAACAATTTCTCACAGTCTCAGGCATTCTAGGTGGTCCCCAGTCATCAACACATGAGAGCCCCAGAAAAATATGATATTCTGCCAACCCCAGGGATGTCCAAACTTTTAACCACATATGCATTTTTTTCTGGAAACACTTTTTAATGTCTGCTGTGGCTCTAATTTCTACTTGGTAAATTCCACGAATTTGCCTCAAGGTTAATTTTCATTTCACAGGAGGCTAAAAATTAAGTTTGACCTATAAAGTAAGTTAGAGGTAGTTTGTTTAAATTATACAGAACATGAAAGGCCACTGCACATGGCCCCAAGAGCACATGTTTTTTCTCTATATTTCTAATCCATCCATTTTACCTGTCCATTATCTCCTTGTTCTTCTCCAGGCACCTTGAGTAGATGATTTTGATGAATCTGAGAATGTAAAAGAACATTTTGAGACAATCAACCGATTTCCAAAACACCTCTTCAGGGTGGTTCCATGAACCAGCCTGCCTCCTGCAACCACACACTCGCTACAAAAGGAGAGAAAAGGGCAAACGCATTAAGTTTCTATTATACAAGTAGTCTCTGACGTTTCCCCCATGTTGCTCCCTTATTTCGGCTAAATAACCATGTTCAAAGGGTATATTAATCCCATTGACCTTTGCAGAGCTTTGTGAGGGATCTTGATGTTTTCATTTTTTCCCTTTTTTCCATATTACAGTTTTTGGTAGAGTTTCCTCCAGTTAGTTTTGCGGTCTGTAAAGAGGAGACAATAAAGGAAGCTTAATGATTCAGTTCATTTTCCCTTTATCAAGTCGCTGCCTACACAGCTAACTCATTAGTACCAGAGAGAACAAAAAAGCCTTTAGGAAAATTGTGGGGGCTACTTCCAAGCAGTTCTTTTGAACTGTGAGTCATCCTGATGCCAGCTCCAACTTTAGACAAAACATTTAACTGTTATGTTAGGCTTTGGGTTTTGTTTTGATTTTGCCTAGAGTGGGTGTCTATTTGGGACATTGTTTTGTTTCTTTTGTTTGTTTGTTTCCTGTCTTTATTTTTGCTTTACTCTTTTGAAACTGCATCTCATGTCACCCAGGCTATATAACCAAGGATGGCCCCAAGTGTTGCAATCACAGGTGTATGATGTGATGTCCAACTCACAAAGCAGACTTATGAGAGTGCAACCTCACATACATGTTGAGAGGAACACGTGAGACAATGCATGCAAAGTGTCACTGGATCCACTTATTTAAAAAACACCCCTATAGGGATGGGATGGGGGATCAGTGGGGAGCATGGGAGGATGGGAGGGAGAGGGAACTGGAATTGATATGTAAAATAAGATTGTTTCTGATTTAAATTTAAAAAAGAATTAAAAAAAAGACACCCTTGTACCTGGAACTCTGCTTTCTGATGTGATGTCATACCTAGTTGCTGTAAAAAAAATACATAGTATCTTCTAACATTTAAATTTCTACAAATAAAGGAAGGGAAGAGTCATCTGCCCAAGATTCCCCAACATATCAGAGGAGAAGCAGGAATTTGAAGAAAGGGCTGAGAATGTTCTAGAACATGAAGGTAATAGAAGTGTGATCTGGTTGCACACTCTTTGTTTCATCACTGCAAGGAGTCCATGGAGCTGCATAGCATTGATGTAGGACGTGGGATGCTACTGAGGCAGAGGTCTTTGGGAAACACTGTAAGGAGACCCCTGCGCTTGCCACAGACCAAACTACTGAAAAGCAGTATGGAAACTGTAGTGGTTGGAATGCTGTGGTATATTTGAATGCTTGATCCCTAGTTGGTGGCATTGTTTGGGGAAAGTTAGGAGGTGTGATCTTATTGGAGGGGGTGTGCCACTGGGGGTGGGCTTTGAGGTTTCAAAGACACATGACATTCTAGTTGACTACCTGCCCCCCCCTCTGCTTCACGGCTGTAGTCTCAACACGTAAGCTCTCAGCTATGGCTCCAGCACCATGCCTGCCTGCGTGCCCACCCCAGGCCATGCTCCCCACCATGATATTCTCAGACTCTGCTACTCCGTAGGACCGAGAGCCTCAGACTAAATGCTTTCTCTTACAAGTTGCTTTTGTCATGGTGTTTTGCCATGGCAGCAAAAAAAGGAAGACTGAAACCCTCTCCTTTCTCTAACACACCTATCATTTAAAACACAGCATAGGTGTGCTAGAGAAATTGCTACCAGAAAGAACCCTTTTAACACATTTTTCAACGCAAATGAAAATCCTTTAATTCATTTTTGTGAGAAGCAGGCATATCCACCCTTTTAACATTGTGATACAACCTTGTCTACTTCAAGGGTCACACTCAAGAACCATACAATCAAGAAAATTCACCACAAAAAAACAAACCAAAAAATTTCAGTATTGTAAGTAAGCTTATGATTTTGTATTGGACCCCATTCAGAACTATTGTGGGTCACACGCAGCCCACAGATAAATGGTTGGGCACGTCTAAGAGGGTTGATAGGATTGGCGTTTCTGAGACTGGGTCTCATTAAGTAGCTCAGACTGTCCTCAAATTAAAGAGCCTCCTGCCTCGGGCTCCCAAGTACTGGGAAAATAATCTACCACATCCAACAACAATCCCACTCTAGATGAATATATATTTTTAAATCACACCCAGTACTTATGAAGATCCCAGCCTGTGTTCGGCTCTAGGCCAAAGGTTTATGCTCAATATAACAAAAATCAGTAACGTGACTATCCCCATTTTATGGAGAAAATGTAGTTCCAAGGGGATGACTGACTTTCCCAAAGTCACATAGCTGAAAAGAAGGAAAGCTAAAAGACAAACCTAAATTTACCTCATCCAAGAGCCTAAGTTCTTCTCCGCTGTTATCAAGTGACCATGGAAATGCAGGCGAAGGCCCACTTGGGGTTCAGGGTCTCACTCTGTTCTGTGGCCCTGCCCCCACTTAGCTACTGACCCTGGTATCCAGACATAAAGACCAACAAGACTGCTGCTCTCAGAAGCCCAGACTGTGTGCAGTATTGGGGTGAGAGACAAGCCGGAGCAGGAGGAACTGGTCGAGAGGAGGATCGGAGCTGTCCCACTTGGGGACGGTTGGAAGGAGTGGGCAGCTTGGGACTGAAGAGAAGCATTCAAGAAAACAATGCTAGCTCACTCCCTGTTCGGCTCAGCGGTCTCCTTGATAACAGTCAGATTGCTAGAAGCAGCGGGGAACTGTACATTCAGCAACAGACACATCTTTTAAAATATGTGAAGAAACAGAATGTGGTCTGAAGCAGACCGTTTGTTAACCGACGACAAAACAGACCTGTTTTACACGAACTCCTAAAGTGGAAAAGCAGAAGGCCCGCCTTGAAAGAGGAAAGGTGGAGGGCGGGAGGGAAGGGACACGCGTCTCGTTCGTGCTTCAGTCCATGTACAGGAAAAGGACCCTGTGTGTTACACGGTCACACCACTGCCCAGAGAATCCTAAAGAGCACCCTGAGAGCAAACGCTCACCCATCGCCTCACACACCCCCACACCAGCTCTGGCCTCGGCCCCAGAGCAGCCTCCTGAAGCCACTTGGGAGTCCCTTTGTTTTCCTGGGGAGTGTACCTGCACAGCAGGTCTTTCCAGTGTCCAGGGCTGCCTCCTCGCTCTCAGAGGCAATGCCATCCCACGTGTTCCTGTTCCCTGCCTACCCACAAGTCCTACCTGCCCTCTGCACACTGCACTCTGCACACGGTCCCCCTTCACTGGCCCTCGAGGGGGCGCTCTAAGCCCACTGCTGACTTGGGGAGTTTACATTTACTCTTATCTGTTGTGGGATGCTCTTCAGTCAGATACTCCACGGGAGAACTGTCTCCCAAGGAGGGCTTCCTCATCTCGGCAGCTGAAGTTTCGAGTGTCTGTCCCTGGCATCCTCTTTCTTTCTTCCTTGTCCTCTTTATTCTCTTCATTTTGCTGGCCTCTGTCCTCATTCTCTCTTCTGTTGGAATCATGCCTCAAGATCACAAGGATTTCTGTCTGTTGTACTTACTGCTGTCTCTCCAGAGCCCAAACAATATGGGGACATAGTCTGGTCTTCACAGCGAGCTCTAGGACAGCCAGGCCTACACAGGAAAAAAAATATAAATAAATAAATAGATGCTCAACCAAGGGCATAATTCAGTCACTAAAGTGCTTACTATTAAGCGTGAGGACCTCAGTTGGATCCCCATCAACCACATAAAAACCCAGCATGGTGACACACTTACAGTCCCAGCACTGTGGAGGAAGAGACAGGTTGAATCCCTAAGGCTTGCTACCCAACCAGACCAGCCTAGTTGGTGATCTCCAGGTTCCAGTGAGAGACCCTGTCTTAAAAACAAAACAGACTGCTCCTAAGGAATGACACTCAAAATTGATCCTCTGGCCTCCACATGCATGCCCATGAGCCTGCAAACACATGAGCATAATACACTAATCTCCCCGAGTGCACACACACACATATACACACAATGTACCCACACATACAAACACACACATTCACACATACACAAGCCACATATACACACACTCCGTACACACACACACAAAACTAATACTTGAATTTCTTTTTCCTCAACATAAAAGACTTCCTACAGAGTTGTCTACAGATGAAATGGAATACCTGAGGGGGTGGTGAGCTCTCTGTACCTTAAATAGCCAGGCAGAGGCAGGCTGACCTTTTTAATAGAGATACTGAAAAGACTGGATACTTGATCAGACAAGATATTAGGCCAGCCTTGCACCAACCCTGCCAGAGTTCTGAGATGCCCTACGAGGACACTAACCAGAATTCTGAGACTCTAGGCCCAGAAAGGCCAGTCAAGAAACCAGGGATGGCAGATCCAGTCTCACAGGCATGCAGAAGTGCGACACTGTTAGCTTGGGTTTGGGAAAAACACTTTCGTTTGATTTTCATTTCCAGGGTAACCCCCACCAGTGTATTTGGAATGTTATCTCCTGAATACAAAAACCATTAAAAAAAAAGCAGCACATATATAACTGCAAATGAGAAATTTCAGAACAAGCTAGTGCTATCAAATAACTGTATCATCTGGAAAGAATTCATAGTCTCATGTAATTTATATTCTTGTTCTTTGCTCTTTTGTGTGTGTAGGGTTTTTTTGTTGGTTGGTTGGTTGGTTGCTTGCTTGCTTGGTTTTGTTTTGTTTTTTGTATTAAAAAGACTGCTTAAAATTAGTTCAACTCTTCCCTCTGGGATAGGTTTTAAAACAAACACATGGGCAAATTGATTATAAACAGGAAGAGAATGAGTGATAGCTGTGACTTCAGGAGAGTCTCCTGATTTATACATGTAAGAAGCCTGAAATGCTTGTGGGGAAGGATCAATGTTCCAAGGCCAAGGCAATTAGAGATGCCAGGGAAGAAAATGCTGACCAAGGGTTTGGGGGAGTTTTGTTTGTTTTTGTTTCTCACAGTAATGAGAAAATTGCTGGAGCCAAGGGCAGGGAATGAATGTTTACAGTCACTAAGGGTGGGCTGAAGGGCTGAGACTGGGGCTCCTGGCTGTGGGAGCAGACAAGAGGAACCATTCGGAGCAGAGGTCTGCGAAGAAGACCCTGCCTCTGGCCCTCCTGAGCTCAGAAGGTAGGGACATTCGATGATGACACTTCTACTGGAAACAATGAGAGGTTCCTCCCAGGACTTTAATAGAAATCACTCTTCCTAGACAAGGGGTTTTCAGTCTGAGGCTTGTCAGGGATCACTCACTGTCCCCTGACCACAAGTGTGGTCTGTTTCTGGAAACAGGTAGATAGGCACAAGGGAAGCAGGTATGTGTGCACTTAGCATTTGCCTAGTGGGGAATCCCCTAACACCCAGCTGAACAGATGCTCTCTATGGCCACTGGTCCTCTGGGGTCTCTTTCAGGGTCCCTGCCTGTGCTTTGTCCCCAACAGTGAAACTGCTCTCCGTTCTCCAAAATCTGTGCCTTATTACGGAAAGCCGGCACAGTAATAAAGCCCTTGGTCATGTTCAGCCGCACACTGAGCCCCTCCCTCTGTGGCCTCACAAGCCAGTCGGTGCCTGAGATCTGGAGAGGCGGGAGCATAAAAAAGGTAGAGGACAAGATTGCTTGGTGCCATCGACACACAGCGTACATGGCGTTAAAAGAAGAGACTGAGAGGCTTAATTTACAAGGAATCTTGAATGACACAAAAAAGGGAGGATGCAGGAAGCAGGTAGGAAGAGGAAAGGAGGCAGGCTCGTTGCCCATGCAAGCCTGGCCAGAGTCAGTTGGGACAGCCAGGCTGTCTAGGATGCAATCTCTCGCCTCCTGTGCCCCACCCACAGGGTGCAGAGGGCACAGACAGAAACTTGGTGGGATCCCAACGGACCCAGATTTTTTGATCCCACTTTGATGTCCGTCTCCCGCACTACTCAACACTTAGAAAACGATTCTCAGAAAACACAAGATTAAAATGCTACAGCAAATGCCTGCTTTCCTACGGAAAAACAAGATTCTTGCATGGATCTGTGAGCAGCTTTTCTTCAGAGAGAAATTTCCAGAAGGCAACAATTAAGGAGAAATTTTAGAAGTGGGTACAGATTGTAAGAAAAAGGCCCAACCCCAGAAAAGCAAGAACCATGGATGTTCAGAACCCCAACAAAAGGAATCCAGTGGATTCTGTCTTGGAGCTGGCTGCCACGCTTCTTCTGTCACAGACCTTAGACTCACCTGAGTGTGACCTGCAGGCCCAAGAGAAAGGCCTTGGTTAAGGCACACCTCAGGCTGTGGTTTGGATGTGGCTTGAATGCATCCCCAAGTTTCTGAGCTCCAGCCTACCTAACTCTCCCTCCCCCCCCTCCCGCCCCGCCCCAACCCAATGATGCCCACCATGGCCTTGGGACTTTATCAGTGAGAAGGCAGAAGGCAGACATTTGACCTTATGCCTCCAGAACCATGAGCCTAACTAACCTCCCTTCAGCAGTAACTAGCCAAGTCTTGAGTGTTGTGTTCTTGGCAAGAGAAGACAGACTCATATGCTCCTTATGGCTAGCAGAGCAATCCTGTGTACCTTGAAGGGTTTGGCTATTAGAGATCATAAAATAAGGACTTAGAAGAGAACTGGAGAGAGAAGCCACTCAAACGCCACTGGTTGTTGCTGTTTTTTAATAAAAAAAAAACATTTAAAGAGCATCCTTACTCTCCATGCAAGCCGCTTCTTTCTTACTCTTTCTGATATACTCCAATAACAGGGAAGTTACAAACTCAGTTCCCCTGGGGTTTGCTTCTCCTGTTGGTACATTGGGTCATCCTAGTTTAATCAGTCCTTTTAAAGAATCACCAGCCATTCTTCTGGCTGACATTTCAATCAGGTTTTCCCAAGAATCCCAAAGGAGAGGGGAAATGGGATTGCAATGAAAAAAAAAAAAGAAATCCACTCCTCTCTATGTGCCAGTAAATTATAACTCCACAGCTGCCTCCTAGAGAGAACAAAAGACACGTGGTGGAACATTTTTCTGCCTGTGAAGACTGACAAAGCAGTAGAAGCAGGTCCTTTGCCATATTGATGAGGAGTGGGGCGGGTGGGGTGGGGCATCCCAGAGGAGTGATGCCCTTGGGCTTACTCTCACACAGCACTGCAAGCATCATAGGACAGACAGGTTTGGGACAAGAGCAGGGAGAGGCCTCTCCATGTCACCTTACAGAGACAGGGGAGGAACACACGTGAGTGATTTACATGGAAGACTCTATCCAAATAATTCATTTAGAGCTCTGTGTTCTGGTGACACACAGCATTGTTGGTCACAGTGCTTCTCCTTCAAAACCCTTCTTAGCTTCTAGAAGTGCCTCAGGCCTCCTCTGCAACATCTTGACTTGTCTGAAAGATCTCTAGAATGAGTCTGTTCGGAGGACATGAGTCAGCCTGGAGGAGCCAGCATTGGCATGAGTCAGACTGCCTGTGTTCACATCTATGCGGTGTCCTTGGACAGATTAATCAGCCTCTAGAAGTCTACAGTCACCTTTTCTCTAAAACAAATGTCGACTGTACCTTCCAGTCAGGCTGTGTGGGATGAAAAACGGGTGTGGGGAGTTCAGCCCATGGCACCGTTTGCAGGACATGTTGAATGCACCCGGCGGTGGCAGGACGCTAAAGACGTGGGAGGAAAGAGCCAGGTGGAAGTGAGGCTGATCATGACATCCTGACTGCCCTTGCCAGCATCCAGCTCCTCCCTCTCCCCCACACTGTTCTTCCAGGTTGGAGCTGGAAACTATAGTAAATGAACTATTGCCACATGAATTGGGTTGCTGGGGCCTGTGTGATAAAGTCCGTAAAGTAGGTAGTTTCAACAGCAGCAGTGTGCAGCCCCGCAGTCGAGGAGGTGGGAAGGGTTGGCTCCTGCTGAAGGCTGTGGAGATGCATCTGGCCTGTGCCCTTTGCTGGCTTCTGGTGTCTATTGCCCTGCTTCTCGGCCTCTTTCGCATGACCTCTGACTCCATCCCCACGTGGCATTCTCGCTGTTTTAGTAAACCAAATCTCCCCTCTTCGCAAGGACAACAGCTACACTGGCTTCAAGCTGGGCTACATGACCTCATCTTAACTAATTATAAATGCAATGACTCAAAGAAGATCCACAGACATTTTGACATCTTCAAGGTATAAATTATAGGTAGGAGATGACAGAGTTCAGTTCAATCCACACCACCACTTTTTGGCCAAGTGTCCCAGGGCAAGCC